ATTGCAATATTGGATTTTATATAGAGTACAGCAAATTAAATGGGGTCACTTGGAAGCACATGCATCGGGCACTGTGAACTGCGGTGAAGTCAGTCTTGTTTCCCTAAGCTGGAGCTGGGTGATGAGTACAAGAAGCAAATGCAAGCCTGGGGAAGAACAAACCCCACATTTGCGGTGCAGACGGGGCCAGTGGCACTTCTAGGTGTTGTCTGTCCCTTGGCGAAAGCACCCAGAGCCTGGAGGCTTTTGTCTTGCTCATGGCTCCATCCAGCCGCTGTCCCCTGCAAAGGAGACCCAAACCATTTTGCAGTGTGATGTGCTGAGCTGCTGGCATGATGTTGAACTCAAAGACACCCCAAAGATGATTGCACAGCCTCTAGTCTCATCTTCCAACCCCAAACATCTGCAGGCTTTTGCCCAGTGCAGGGACATGGGGCTGGTGTCCCTTTTGTCCCCACACCTCGTGTTCCAAGGCAGCGGGAAGGTGCAGGACGAGTGGTCCTAGGCAGTGATGGGGATCTCTTCCCCTCTCCCAAAAATGGATCTCAGGGTGGTTTTGGAGCCTCAGAGCTCTGCAGAGCCCCTCACCAGCTCTTATTCTTACTTTGGGGGGTGGTCAGTCCCCTGCAGCCATGAGTGCTGATTACTCCAGCAAAACTCTCTGAGCATCCAATGGGAGTTTTCGGAAAATGCCTTCCAAGGGGTGTCAGCCCTACATCCAGGGTGGGCTGAGGCCAACACCTGGGAAAATTCCTCCTCCCACAGCTCTGCTGGCAGTTTCGGTGATGGGCAGCGGAGGAGTGCTGTGCTGGCTGCCTGGAAACGGCTCAGGAGATCCACATGAAACCCTGTAATTTCCTTTTTTTCAGACAGCTGTAGCTATTTCACTTTTCTTTTGAAGGCTTGTTTCTTCCCCAGACGTGCTGTCATTGGGAAGCCAAGGGGTGCAGCGGTGACCAGCACGGTGGCCAGGCTCTGCTGCCAGTCTGTCATGGCAATCGCTCCATCAGCAATAGAACCAGCATCTCAATTTGGCATCAAATACTACAAGTCATGAACTAGAAAAGGTTGTGATGGGTCAGAGGCTTTTGTACCACTGAGAACTGGGATAATTTATTTTGCACAAATCCTTCCCCCTGACATGGTCAATTTTTCAAAATTTTAAATAATATTTTACCAGTAAGAAGGAGCTGATGGTTGATATAAGTGAAGAGGGAAGGGCTAATCCTACCAAGGGGGACAAAGGAGAGCTGCTTTAGCACAATACTTGCTAACCTGTGGCTTTGGTGCCGATGGCCATAATTGTCTCTGGTCACCCCTGGGACAGTGGGCGGAGGATGAAGGGTCCCGCACACAAGGGTTTCACTTTGCTTTATTATAAGAAGGAAGAGAAACTCCCTGGGAGCAGGCGTAGGCTTCTGCAGGGAAGCCACTGCGGACCGTAACCACCCCCTTAGTCCCCTCCACGGCTTTTCCTTGGGGATGCCCTCAGCAAAGCCCAGCCTCCCTCGGGGCTGCGCAAGGATGGGTTTGCTTTGAAGAGATTAAAAACCAGCACCTTAATGCTGATCACCTTCTCCGGAGCCGTGGGGATGTCCTGGAGCAGAGACATGACAGGCAGCATGTGGGGGGCTGCATCCCACCCCCCCAACCCTTATCTGAATGCGTGTGTGGCTTAATTCTCTTAAGTTTGCCACTGCTTCTCCTTTGAAGGATGAAATAAGAAAAGGAAGAGGCCATGGGTGCATGCTCCACCATGGTGTTGCACACTCACGGTCCGTGGCAGTACCTGTGTGCCCAGTGAGATGCAGCACACTCCGTGCACAGGGAGCGGGGAACTGCTGGGTGGGCTCACAAGAAACGGGAAGAAAAAAAATAGAAGGGGAACCCAAGTCGCAAAGTTTGCTTGAGAGGAAGCCATTGGCTCACAAAGCATGTCTCTGTTCCCAAGGGCTCCTTTAACGTCAGCAGGATGTTATCTCAGTTATCAGAATTATTTTCTTTCTTTCTTTCTTTCTTTTTTTTTTTTTTTAATGCAACGTTTCATGCTTTTCAAGCACAGATGAGTGTAGGACCAAGAGACATACTTAAAAAATTAAGAAACATTATATTGTGAGACCAGCTGGAGGCAGGGGCAAGAAAAAAACAAGGAGGATTTCCCCTGGCTGGCCAGGGCTGGCTGAGGAAAGGGGTGTCGGAAGGGAGCACAATGGGGACAGGACATCCGAGGAGCAAGTTCTTTCCTGCCCAGCTATCCAGGCAGCAAAAAAAAAAAAAAAAAAAGTTGCAACAGCTGAAAAACAAGCTTCAAAATTATTTCCAAGCTGCACACACCTCTGCCCCTGTCCCTTGCCCCACAGCAGTTAAGGCATGGCAGGGTGAGGGGGTCACACACATGTTGTGCCCATCTCCCTTGTCCCCAGCTGGGGATGCCAACCCAGGAGATGACAACAGGCATTTGCAGCTATTTATCACAGCTCCACAGCCCCCCACAATTATGGGCGAGGGGCACTATGCATGAGGGCTGCTTCAGGCACCCAATGGTTGGATGCTGAATCCTGGTCCCTGGGGTGGAGGGGTGGCCGCTGTCATAACAGAAGCTGCTTATTACTGTCCCTGCTGAGCTCACCCCTCCCAGCCCCCCGAAAGCAACCTTCTGACTGAGAGCCCTTTGAGTTTCCTTTGGGGAATTCGGTTCCAGGGTTAGAGTACTGGTACTGGGAATCCCAAATGGAACCACGTAAGTGCCTCATTCATGGAAAGAAAATGTCAAAAAAAAAAAAAAAAAAAAAAAAAAAAAAAAAAAAAAAAAAAAAAAAAAAAAAAAAAAAAAAAAAAAAAAAAGAAAAAAATGAAAAAGAAAAAAAAAAGAAAGAAAAAAAGGCAGAACAAACCCCCCGAATTCTCCCCAGGGATGGGGGGGGGTCCCAAAAATCCCCAAGATAGCTATACAGAATTAGCTATACCCACACATGGTCGGTGCATGAAGGGCAGCAGGCTGGGTGATGTGGGGAGCTTGTGGGACCACCAGCCCCCTCGCCCCATGCGGATGCAGAGTGGGGAGGTGTTTTTGCTGGCTGCATCAGGTATTTTGGGTGACTTCTCATCTTGGGAGGTACTTTCCCCATTGCACACAAAACACTGCAAAGTTTGGCATCCTGTGTGAGATGGTTTGTGTTTGCTGGTGGGGACAAAGGGAGGAGGAACTGAAAACCCACCCAGGAGGAGACCGGAGACTCATAAAGTGGGACTGATACCCAGAAAGGAATAGATGACAAAATACATACTGCTGGGGACAGGGTGGCAGCAGCAGCTCAGAAACCACGCAACATCTTTTTTCTTTTAAAAACGTCCTTTAATCCATTAATTCCACAGTATCGCCATCATACACACCGCCACGACACCTCGGTACACGGGACACAGAGCCAAGGAGATGCAGTTACCCAGAAATACGCTTTTTTCTTAAAAAAACCCCAATCCCCTACAGATGTCAGGGGGAAAACCAGTGGTAGATGACCAGAATAACTAGTTCTCTTCAGCAAGTTAAAGGCACTTAACGAGGGAAGGAACCCCCAGCCCTCCCGGGCTGCCTCGCTGGCAGGGGCAATGCCAGGGACGATGCTGGGGACGATGCCAGGGACGATTCCGGGGGCAGCTGGGGAGGGTGCGGGGTTTCCCGGTGGCTTTGTTGCTTTTTTCTTTTCTTTTTTTTTCTTTTTCTTTTTTTTTTTTTTTTTTTTTTTTTTTTTTTTTAAAGCTGAGAGGAAACTTTTTGTATTTGGGGCTTTTGCTATTCACACTTGAAATCCAGCGGCAGGAACTCATCACCGACAGCTAAAGAGCTGCTTCTGATGGAGGCACCAGCATCACGCCAACCAAGAGCTACAGGGAAACTAACAACCCCAATATATATATATTTTTTTTTTTTCTGCATAGATTAAAACCAAAAGCAAAATAAGGAGTTTACGTCATTCCTGGTCCAGCCTAACCCATCCCAGCATCTTTCTGCAAAAGCTGGGGACAGGGACAGCTCTCTGCTTGGGGACACTGCCCAGCAGGGACATGGGACACAGCCGCCACGAGGGCTGGGGGACAGGGGCTGTCCACTGGAAACCCCCTGGAGCAACTCCTGGGAAAGGAAAAACAATCCTAGAAGTTCAACCAGTCCCTCCCCGCCCAGCCCCGCCAAACCCCGCTGAGGGCTGGCACTTCCATGGCTAGCACTTTCTGCAAAAAAAGGGGAAAAAAAAAAAAAAAGTCACTTTATAAAATACATTCGTGGCAGGGGATGAAATTTTAATGCAGCTCATGTTTCAGAAAACACCCTGAATTAGTCATTAGCCAGACCCTTCCCTAAGATGAATTTGCCCCTGAGGACAAAAGGATTAAATGTAAAAAGCTGGTACGTGTGACATGCATGTCTGCGGCTGGCTGAGGAAGGGGATGGCCGAGCTGGTTCAGCACTAAATCAAATAAATGAGGGATGGAGACAGACCCATTAAGTCTCCCGGTGTCCCTCCTCCTGGACGCGCAGAGGGGAGACACGTCGAGCACGCAGCTGAGGAACACAGCGCCTAATGGTGAGCCCAGCCCAAAGGCATAGAGGTGAGTAATTCCCATATATAATACATTTAATATGCTGCTTAGATTTTTCACATAGATTTTTTTTTTATTTCTGACATTGGTGAGTCATTTAAATATTTAGCCCAGACAATAAAATATAAAAAAAGAACCATCTACGGTATGTGCCTGCTGATTCTAACAATAGTCACAATATTAGGGCCCAGTGAATGTTATTATATAAGAATCTCTTAAGTCCATGTCAAACATACATTATGAACTTACAAATAAATAACTCCACAAAAATCCTTTCTTCTCTCCATAATTTCATGTGATCGGAGAAAAAGAAAAAAAAAAAAAGAAAAAAAAGCCCTTTCTGGTGATGACAAATGAGGAATTACACATTGAGTTTGAGGCATACATTACTGGTGCATCACCAAAGTCAACCACTAGGCAACAAAAAGATGTATCATATGAAACAATTTTTTAAATTTTTATTTTACATATTTATACATAAAACTTTCAAGGTAACTCTCTGAATTCAACCCAATGTTAATAGCACATCTAAAAATGAATGTCAGGTAGTCAACATTCACAAAATGTTGAAAACTGATTAAAATATACATATTAATGAAAGCTACAACTTCACTACGAGGCAGGCATGTATTTTTTTGACTTGTATAGCACCGTCAAGTACAGTTTCTTTATTTTAAAACTACAGTGAAGGATAAAAAAGTAGTCAATGGTAAAATATCATTCAACTGAAAATCTCTAAACAAACAAAAATAAAGTTAAACTAACCCTCTCTTCTCACCCATGATTTATAATGTTATAAGTACTGTACAATTTTTTGTAATAATATTATTAAAATGCCTGATATTTAGTGGCACAAGTAAAAAAATTAAAATAAATTAAGAAGCAGAGGCCAATCACCGGACATAAAGCTTCAGACATGGTCAATGACTAACACTGGTTTTCTTGTGCGTCACCGTGGACGTCAGCGCTTGGACACACACAGAAGCAAAATGAAGTCTCGCTTGAGCTCCGCTCCCGTGGCTCCGGGTTTCATTTTGCCGGCATCTTCTCTGCCATGTGCTTCTGCTGACTTTCAGCGTGTCTGGGGGGGAGGAAAGAAGCCATGTTATTCCCTGTGCCAAGGGGAGGTGGGAACCCGAACCGCACACGGGGATGTGCTCCACACCAGCATCCGCACTGGCAGCCAACCCAAAAATACCATTTCCCATCACGCGCCAAAGCCCCTGCCATGCCGACCATCTTCCAAAGCCATTTCATTGACAAAACTGACATTAATTGCATTTAGGACACAAAACGTTTCCCAAAGCACAGAAGGAAAAAGAGATGCGAGGTGGCACTGGTGCTTCTCCACTGACCCAGGTCCACCTCCCATCCCAAATCCCCCCCTCTCATCGCTTTCTCTTTATTAAGGGAAGCAGCGATGGTGTCTTGCAAGACTCAAAGGTGACAACCCTCCTGGCTTGTCCCCAGGGACACCATCCCCTGGGCAACACAAGAATTGCTCCCCAAATCCCTCCTGGCCATCCCAGCTGGTGGAAACTTCTTCCAGGCAGAGCAGCAGCAAATCTCAACCAGCCGCTACGCAGCACCACGGTGTTTAAAAATAGAGACAAATTTAGGCCGTATTTTTTGCAAGCACTGACAATAACTGGTATCATCTTTTTCAGACTTTTTTTTCCCCCAAAGCTTTCAACACCTATGTTTCTGCAGTGCATCGCTAATTATCTCAAAGGAAAATGCCCCTTAAGCCTTGCTACCCGGGAGATGCCTTTCTTTCGGAAACCCACCTATATTCTGCAAGGCTTTGTATTTTATTGCTATTGAACATTAATATTTAAGAGATTCAGAAATTCCCCCGTCTTTCCAGGGCTTTCCTACTGAAATTCTGCTAAAAGAATTCTGCCGATGGTGAGCTGGGAGCAGAAAGAAGAGAGCACTATCCCGAGGAGCATCCTTCACCTTGTCAGATCCTCGATGTCCACCAGCATCGCGTCCTGCTCCGTGTGCAGCTCGTCCCGGATGAGCAGCAGCTGCACCAGCTCCTCATTCAAGCCTGGTGCCGGGGAGAAAGGGGGTGAGTTTGGGATGTCCTGGGGAACCCTGCTTTGGGACCTGTACTGTACATCATCCTTCCCCACCATGGTACACGTAAGCTGGTGCAGAGAACCAGGAGGGATGCACATGAAGGCGGGGAGAGGCAACAAAATTTTTGTTTTCTAGGATAAACCGCAACCCCTCACCACTGTGTGCAAGTGGTTCCTCTCTTAAACTACCCCTAATGCAGCAGCAAAAATAAAGATGAATTGCTCAGTGCGTTGAGCCCCGCTGGTTCAGCTTTCGCTCACTTGTGGGCAACAACCCCGAGCAAGGAACAGGCTGCAGAGAGTGGCTGAGCCGCTCACCCATCCAGCCTCAAATTGAGTTTTTTAATTCCCTGCAGCAATGCAGAGCACACTGCCCA